GGGTTCGATCCTCGCCGGCCGAAGACTCCCCGTGTAGTAAATGGTGACTGATGCACGTTAAATCTGTCGAGTCTCAAAGTCCTCCATGTTCCCACAACAAATCAATACCTCTGGGGGTACTGATCCAGGAGTTTCCTTGTCTTCTGGATTGGTTCAAAATTACAAGGCTACGGAGTTGAACATTAGTAGTCGTAAACCCATGAAATTGGGTCGGCTGTTCAACGACGGTTATAAAATAAAATATATGTCTACTCATGAGCCCGCTGATGGTGCTCTGGATAGCTCTATCCCTCCCGATCTTGAGGGCATTATTGCAGGAAGTTTCCCAGAATGCCAGAAGAGGGACGGAGGAGTCCTCCATATTTTATGATTTGCAATCTTAATTTTAGAGTTTATTTCAGAAAAGGCTAGCTCGATATCTGAAGTTGATGAGCCAGAAGCCTGGTTTTTTGCAAGAGTGTCAGCAGTTTCATTTGCCGTGAAGGCCCATGTGTGAGGGAATCCACTGTATATATATCCTTTGTTGTGCCGAAAGCACCCTGAGATCTTTTAGAATTACGACACAAGTTCTGCCACCCACTCTAGTCCAGCTGCTCAGATGCTGAATGGCAGTACGGTTATCCGTCAAGACCCAAATATCCGCAGACTGGTTGCTGGAATCAATGCCGCAAGTGTCTCTTTTATTGCCATTAAATCAGCTCTAAACTGCCGATCCATATAAGAGATCCTTCAAAACAACTACCTAATATTTGAAATATTTTGTTCAAATTGAGTCTGGGACTATTTCTGAAAATACTGTTGATATTTTATTACAGTTTAAATGTCAATATTTTTTTGAGGTTGTTAATAGGAAAGTTTAGTTTTAATGTGCAAACTCTGTTACACAAAGCTAGTGGACTAACCTCTGAATTATTTAAACAATTGTAATTGCTGTAAAAAATAATTTTTTTTTAACAACTAGTGAGTTAAGATATCATGATTTATCTGTTTTTCATTTCAAATCATTTAGTGTTAATTGTAATTTTTTAATATCAAATTGTAATGGAAATTATTATAGAGCATGAAGTCAGAAGTAGAGCTAATGCATCTTGAAAGCTTTAGCAATTTGTTGTAGGTCTTAGAAATATTTTTTATTACATGTTATGAAATTTTGATATTATCGAAACTATTTTGAATTGGTATATTCAGTTTATGCCTACTTGATTTTTTTTCTGCCTGTATTCTTTTTTATTATATCCTAATTATTTCCTTTTATTTTCAGGGTCTTTTCAAAACTTGACTTTTCATCTTTTATAAGATGTCCATTTGTTTCTAGGGTAAATCAAAAATTTTTCTTTAAAAAATGTTTGTGTGGTTATTTATTGTTTGTAAAGTTGATTATTTTGTTGATGACAAATATCCGTAGAGCTATTTAAAAATAAGTGTTAATTGGAATCTTATTAATGAAATCGTAGGCTCACCAATTGCTTAACTTTTGATATTATCTTTTTATACAATTATTAACTGTAGTAGACTTTATCTTATCATCCCAACAATACCTATTTTGCTGATGCACCATTGGTACTTACGCATGCAAAGCTATAAAAAAAATTTTAATTGTAAGAAAATTGTGAAAAATTATTGCGGAATGTGTGTTTTTATTTGCATAAAAAAAAAAAAAAAACGAGTTTGAAGTTAGTAAAGTCAAGCATATTTTCCTTGTAATTTTAAGAGATTTTATTTTGTAAAAATACTGTAAATTTTTTGAGTTTTTATATTTGTTATTTTTTTTCCCTTTTTTTTTAAAGAAAAAGAAGTTTGCCAAATAATTCTATTATTGTATTTTTATGCCATAAACTATGTATATAAATTGTAAATGGAATGTCTGCAACAAATATCGTAAAGAATATGTTGTTCCAGAAACTGTATATGGATATCCACTTTTTGATGATAAGGCTAAAAAAATATTTCTATTTTTAAACCACTTTATACTTTACACAATGATTATAAATTCATTATTAAATTTATTTGCACTTTCTTTTATAGTGTATTGTTGTCTAGACATTTAAATTTTTTTCATTTTTATTTTAAAAATTTACTCTAAAAAATTTAGTTTAATTCTTCATTTCTTGATTAAGAGAAACATAGTAAAAGCCTGACTATCTGAAATTTAACTAACCAAAAAAGCTCAAGTAACCAGAATTTTTTGAAATTTATAAAAGAAATTTTTTACATGACAGAGCTTGTAATATTAAAAAAAAAATTAAATTTCTTCCTTAAATTTGTTTTAAATGTAAACAAGCATTTTGTATCGAAAGAACCCCCAATTTCATCTCTATACCAAGAATGCAAAAATTTAGGTTTCAAAAGAAAATCATCTCTTAAAGAGATAAGGAAAAATGAATAAAAGAAATAAGTCCAAAAATAGCATTGAATTGCCATAAATCTAAAGTAAAAAAAAAAAGGAAAAATTATTTGGATTGTGTTTTATTATGTTTTGATTTGTGCTTATTTAAAATTTCTTTTATTTACAATGATCACCATACAATTACTGATATCATGCAGAAAAATAAAGCAAACACAGGAATATTGAATACTAAGTAGATATGAATTATATGCAGGTTTATTATATTCTAGTTATTTTTTATATTCGCATTTTTTTATTCATGTTTTTAGGCTATGAAAAATTTTGCTATTGGTTTGTCATATATTTTAGATTTGTTAGTTTTTGAAATGCTTTTTTTTTTTTNTTTTTTTTTTTTTTTTTTTTTTTTTTTTTTTTTTTTTTTTTTTAGTGTAGTTTCTTTTTTTCTTGTTGTTTAAATCACAATTTGTAAAAGTCAATTTCATAAATGTTCGGTAAGCTTACAAATGAACTTTAATTGTAAGCCTTCCAAATTAATTTTATCTTACTATTTTTGGTTAAAGCATAATATAATAAATAAGAGTTAAATTACTCAGCCTTTTAAAAAGATGCTATTCAAGTTGTTTTCATTGGATACTACATTGTTGAAACAGTCCATTATTTGTAAATATTTTTTTTAAATTCTTATATTTAGATTTAAATCTTTGTGCACCAATAGTGTAAGGAAAATGTTTCATCTAACTTTAAAGTATAATTGCAATATTTAATTGTTATAAAAAGTATTTGTCAATCTTATGCCAATTATATTAATATGCAATTTATGAAAACTAGAATAATTTATTTTAAGTTTATTTTTGTTTGCATGCATACATGTATGTAAGATGATTAATTTAAGCTAATCAGAAACTTGTTTTTCATAGACTGATCACATAGAGAATTTTGAAAGGACTGGTACTGGAACTTTAAGTGATTTCAGTTTGAGGAAAAATCCAAATGTGACTGATGAAGATATTCAGTAATATATTATTTTATAAAATTCTATTAGTACTAAATTTTTAATGTAAATACTGTAATTAATAGATTTTGATTCATACATTTTGAACAGTGTGTGGTAAATATATCTTTATTGTAATCTTTTAGTGAAAATTTGTTTGCTTTCTTTTTAAATGTTGTAGACACTATTACAATATATTATGTTAAAATAAGAGTTTACTGAATACCATTTCTGAATCTCTTAGAGCAGAAATTTTATTACAAATTTCCCGAGACATTTTTCTTTTAGTAATAATGCCTTTATGACTCTCAGGATGTTGGAGATCTGAAATCTTTCACTCTCCTTTAATTTTATATTTTTTTCTTTCTTCCTTTTGAAAATTGTCTTATTTCTCTTGCAAAAGTTAACAAACTGAACTTGACAATGTCACTAATCAACATCCAAGTTATTTGGGTTACTTTATTGCCATGTTATTTGCACTGTTTATAGCCCGCATGAATTCAAACATCACAGGTCAATTGATAAAGTTGATTAATTCATATACTGTGAATTTTCTCTTCGCTAATTATTTTACAATAAATATTATGTATTTTACATGGGTGTCTCTGGCGTTTAATTTTTGAGAAAGACTAAAAATAAAACACCCAGTTATAATTGTTCTTAAAATTTCATGTTTGAAAAAGTTTTTCAATCTGCAAAAGGATTCAATTTTAAATTTTTTAGTTTGATTTTTAAAATTAGCTGAATTGAAATCTGGAATGAATCAAGAATTTTTTTTTATTTGTCTCATATAGAGGAGATTTTTCATTATTGTGGGAGATGTATAACCTCCGTAATCCATGCCAATGATGCGTATCTTTCAAGCATCTTTTTTATTATTTTGTTACAAACCTTTTTAAATGTTTTGACAGAGAGAAATTTTTTTTTCTCAAACATGATTATTTTTATATGATTTTATGAAAAGTATGCTAAGTTGTGTGAAGATATTTAAAAACTAAAAAAATTCAAGAATTAGTTTTCTTACATAATAAAATGAGATAAAAAGAACTAAAAGCCGACAGCAACTAGCTTCTTTGCCTTTTATACTTTTTAAAATTTCAATAAATGCAACTAAAATTTTCAAACCTGTTTTTAAATGGACTAGAAAAGCTATAACATGATTTTTAAGCTAAGTATGTTATAAACGCAGGTGTTAAGATTTTTTTCTGATCTCAATTTCGTGTGGCTCAAGAACTCTAAAGCAGTTAAAAACTTATCTTATATCTATCGATACATATATATATATACATATTGAATGCAAATAATATGTAAAATAATGAAGAAGCACTCAAAAAAGGAGAGAAAAAAAAACAGATGAAAATTTAGGGGAAGAGCATCATGTCATTAGTGTACTTATTCTCATGATGTCAAATGCACATATTTATCTATTAGAAAATGTAGAAAAACATCAGATTTTATAGATATAGAGATTAATGTCTGGTACATATGATTAATATTGCTATTAACTAGCTTAATAATGAGAATTAGCTCATATTGTTGTAAAATTTTATTAATAATATGATTTTACTTAATTACCTTTTTTTGCTAATATCTTAACCCTAATCTGTTTCAAATTCTTTTAGAAATTAAAGAATTTAACTCAAATATCAAAAAATATAACCCTTTAATAATCAACTTACTTTTTCAAATTTGTAGAAAAATCTCTTTTCTGAACACTGAACAGTTTATTTTCGTTATATAAAAATGTTGTGAGTAAAAGCAACCCATCCTTACANAAAAGTTCAGTTCGATCGAGATTTCTGGTAAGGATTCGAGGGCCCCCTGAGCTTGAGGGCCCCGGGGCACTGCCCCGCCTAGCCCCTTGGTAGCTACGCCACTGGTCTTAACCCTATTCTGTTTCAAATTCTTTTAGAAATTAAAGAATTTAACTCAAATATCAAAAAATATAACCCTTTAATAATTTACTTACTTTTTCAAATTTATAGAAAAATCTCTTTTCTGAACACTGAGCAGTTCATTTTCGTTATATAAGAATGTTGTGAATAAGAGCAACCCACTCTTGCATGGTATTGAATTTTAAGGTTGATAGATAAAGTCTTTTTATTATTATTTTCATTTATTTCTTTTTTTGTAAACTAGAAAATTTTTATCCATCCTAATTCAATTTTTTTTTTAAATTTTATGTTTTGTTAATAAGAGTGATGATAGTGCAAAGAATCAAAGAGAATGTATGCTCCTAATTTTTTTAATAAAAATATATATTTTGCTTCATATTTTTATTTTTCTCTTATTTCATAAATTTGTCTTAACATAAATAGGCTTAATTTCCTAATAAATAATATTTTTATTTAGAGCCTATCTTAATGTGACAAACAATATCACCAAATTGGATTTGTATGGCTGCAAGAACCTTACTGATAAGTAAGTTTAGTAACATGATTCAATTTATAAACTGCTATTTAAATTAAATGTTGAAATTTTTAACTATTTCTATAATTTGGGAAATTTTAAAAGAATAAAAATTTTTTCATTAAAGTTGGTAATGACATTAAAAACAGTAGGTAAAATTTGGAATATTTTAATTTCAAATCGATTCTTTTATTTCATAATTATTTATTTTATTTTTTAAAAAAAATTATTATTATTTTTTTAACATAAGACATTTTACATAATATTTTTAGAACTTTTTTCTTTGCTATTATTTTGTTTAAGATTTATTTTCTTCTCTTGCAGATCATGTGAAAAGCTTGTAATCTCGTGTTCATCTTTAGTTAAATTAGATATTGGATCTTGTCAGTTTACTGACAAATCTTTGAAGGCCATTAGGTGAGGGTTTTTTTTTTCTTTTAATTTAAAGGTAATGTTCTTGAAATCTCCAGTGAACAGAAATATTTTAAATCCTACCCAATCGGAGTTCAAAATGAGACTAATTTATTTATTGGTGAATATATTGTGAGCCTTTTTTATATTTATTTAATTTTGAAATGGATATACTAGGTTACATACATAATATATGTTTATTGAAAGTTTAACAATTGGAAAGTAATGGAAGGTGGTCGCTACACAGAGGTGATCTTTCCTGGAGTTTTCACTGTATTACACAAAGCCCTTTGTTTGACTTTCTATCATAGACTATAAAAATTTAATGTATGAATTAGTATGTCATCTGTATACCAGGGAAGATTAATTAATTTAGAAATCAAACAACCCTGCTGGGTTTTCTTAAATTATCTTGTTTGGTTGGAATATAAGACTCATTGTTACTCTAGATAGTGTACTTCTAGTAATTTTTTTTATTGTTGCTTAATTGCTGTAATGTTTACAGCAAGTACTGTGGTAATCTTGAATACATCAACATTTCCTGGAATGACAAAATTACTGATGATGGAGTTGCTGCTTTAGCTCAAGGTTGTCGAATTTTGGAGACTTTCATGTGCAAGGGCTGCTCTGTAGTAAGTACAAAATGTCTATCTATTTATGTGTGTAATATATAGAATGTCTCATTAGAGCCTTTGTTTATTAATTCATAGCTTGATATAGATTTCGCTTAATAGATCATAAAATTGATACTCTCTATGCAATGCAAATGCTTGTTAGTTTCTCTTCTGAAGTAAATGTTTTTTTTTTTTTTAATTTCATATCTACTACTTTAATTGTTTGAAAGTTCATTTGTATGAAATACTGGAAACCTTTTTGTAAGTAGCCTATCTTCAGTTTGTTTCAGATCTGCTTCTTGAATTGAATGAATATTTAATTGTCTAAAGTATTACAATTATTTAAATGAAATGTCTCTATGTAAACATTGTTTGAATTTGCTAAGTCTCTCAATGGGAACAAATTTAACTGAAGAAAACAAATTATGTAAACATTTTTTTCTCAAAACTGATCTTCTGAAATTCTCAAATGGGGCTTCACAGATTATTTAAAATGTGGTACTCAAAATTCTTAATTTATCAAAATTTGTCTTCTTATGCTGTAGTTATTTTGTTACATAGATAAATTCAAAATTATTAAAAGTAAATTGCATGTTAAGTTGTATTTTTAATGAAAGTTTTAAATGTTATTAAAAAGGGCATTTTATGCAGTCATGTTATTAAATTTTTTAATTTCTTTTATGATTAATTATATTAATATTTTACTTAATACTTCTCTTATTTTAAGATTTATAATTTAAAGAAAGAGTTAAAATTTTTGAAATATAATTTGGAAACAAATTTGTTTGGAATTAGATTATGGACTATTTAATTTGTAATTATTTTTTGTTAGGAGGTTTATTGTTGAATTCCTTTCAAATTTTATCGCATTTTAGTAAATTGAATTTCATTAAATGTCATTAGTCAGTGTACGTTTGATATTTTTATCATGACACATTGATTATTCTAAATATTTGTTTGCTAGATTTCAGATGCAGCTCTTCAAAATTTGGCCTTTCTCTGCCCATATATAAAAGTCATCAACTTGGGGTTTATGGTAAGTTCGAATATTGTTTTACTCTCTTATTGCATTCCTCATATTTATGCAGGTTTACATATCTTGAATAAAGTACATAAATTGCAAGCAACTAAGGTCATATTTATACTTTTATTTAAATGCAGTAAAGTTATTTTTTATAGGATATAACAGATGAAACTGTGACTTGTATAAGTAATAACTGTATTCTTCTGCAACATTTATGCTTAGAAAACTGCAGAAACCTGACAGATTCATCTTTGTTTGCACTGGCAAAACGTTGCAAGAATTTGAAGTAAGAGTACTTGTATTTTCGTGTGTGAATGTGAATTATTTGCATAATGAAATATCTAATTTTTTTTTTATAGATTCTAAGAAGTATGCACAATTTTGCAGTTGAATAAAATTACTGAAAAAAGAAAATTAAGACAAAACAAATAATTTTTAAAGAATTAATTCATTGAGATACTTAATATTTTTCTAATTCTGAATTAATATACATGTATGTAATGCCGTGGTTTCTTTTATGCGGGTGTTATGCTCTCAAGCTTTACATCTTTTTGTCATATTTTAGGAAGTTAGTTCATCTTTTGATCTTAATCTAGGAAATTTTCAATATAATTAATTTTTAGGATATTTTTGTAGAATGAAAATTTTTATTTAGATCAAGTTCATCATGTGCAATCTATGTATTGATAACTGAAGCCCCAAAATAAGAGTGTCATACTTTCTTACATACTATATACTTTTTTCTCTCTTTCTTAAGTTGTGTGATCTCTTTAAACAGAATTGACTGCATAAATAATCGTAATGCCGGATGTTACTAAAATCTTACATATTTTCATTTCAGTTTCAAAAAGACATATTTTATTGCACAGTTGAAATTTCTTTTATAAATAAAGATTACATTTACTAACTAGTTAAATATAATTTATATGTGAAGTGAAACTTTTATTATGTGAAAAAGATAATTTAAAAAAATCTCGTCTGTTAGAAAGAGCTAATCTACAAATAAAATATAAATCTTTTTAGGTTTTGTTTTTAAATCCCTTAGTTGCATTTAGCTATTTTATATTTTACGTGTGCTTACATATCGTATGCTGATTAAAAAATATGGCGTGTTGGCAATCTGGAAAGACCTGAACTTTTTAAATAACCTAAGACATTTACAAGCAGATTAAACAGTTTTTTGACAACTGGCATATTTCTGTGTAGCACATTTTTTTCTTAAATAACTAGCTAACAGTTTAGTGTTCTATTCACTCACATATTGAAACACTGTTTTGTTAAAGCAGCCAAATCTTACCCAGAAATCAGTTTTAGATTAACAGTTCAAGGCTAACTTTAGAATTTATTATACAATTTCTGTATGTCATTCCTATCCTAAAGAGAGGTAGATTAAGATCTTTCTTGTTTAAAAATCTATATCTTATTAAAGTATTATTCTGATCAGAAGAAATGTGTGTGTTATTTAAAAATATTATAGAATTTGTTGCTTAGTTAAAATTATTTAGCCTAATTTTATATGTTTTTTTCTTTAGGATACTGGAAGTTGCTCGCTGTTCTAAATTCACAGATGATGGATTTGAGGCTCTTGCAGCTGTATGGTTACAACTTATTAATTGAAATGCAATTCTTTATTTTTTTTATAAAATATGTTTTTCTAAAAGTTTATTTTTTACCCCTTTTCAGAATTGCCCCTTTCTTGAAAAAATGGATTTGGAAGATTGTGTTTTGGTAAGTTTTATGGAACATCTTTACTTTCCATATTCTATTAATTAAAACTTTTTGAAAAGTTTATGCCACTATATTTTAATCTCTTGGGATTAACCATCATCAAGTTAATATGTTTTCCACAATCAAAACTTGCTTTAATATACTAGATATACTAGAGCCATACTATTTTTTTATTGCTCTAGTTTTACGTTTTTTTATTTTACTTTTCTAACAGTAAAAAGAATTGAACAGTGCTGTAAGTTTGAAGGCCAATCTTGCCCTTATCAGATTGTTTGTGTGTAGATCAATTAGACGTCTAAAATATAAAAATATAATCATAATTTAATAAGAAATATATTAGACACTTGGTCATGAAAAGTCTGTGATTTGATTAACGAAAAAAGATTATTGCTGACTTTTCAACTATACTTACACATTATTTTCTTACATAATTCAGTTTCCTTTTCTCTATGGATTATAAATGAAGATAAGTTGAAATAGTCATGTTTTTTTAATGAAACTGGAGTAGTTTAGTTCATAGCTGTTCCTCATTTCTACTAAAGGGTACCTTATACCCAAACCTACCTGGATTTATTGGGTACCTACCAAAATAATTTCTCCTCGCATTATTCTAGCTATAAGATTCTATGTGTATGTTCTTATAACTTATTATAAGAACATTAATCTTATAATGAAGCTAACTTGTAAATAATTAAATAGGCACTTAAATTGGATAAAATTATGTCAAGTTAGAAATACTCAATACTTTAAGTTAATTATTTTTTGAGTAACAAGGCTACAAAAAACGAGAGGGTCCAAAATGACCCCAGCCGTCTTTTTAGTGTTGAACTGTCATATATATTTTATTTTTGTAAATTGGCGTGTATATCTTTTATTGAGTCTCATGGCTGTTTCATACTTCTTACATATTCAAAATTAGTTTTTGTTTTACACTCATATGAGTACTGATTCCATACATCATTAAATAAGTGCTGATTTGAAAAATATGATTCTTAAAATTTCCCTTCTTTCTCAGTTTCTGGGCTAACTCTTTGGCTGTTACTTCAATTTTTTTAGAACATAAGTTGATTACTTTCCTTGAAAAAATTTTTTTTTCATGATTGTGCTATTCTAAAGAAATCTTTTACAAGAGGAATATTTTACAATTTACTGCTGTTTGAAATTCATTAAATATTATTTGAAAAACTTTTGTACATGTAAAGAACTTTTTGAAATTTTTAAAATATTATCTAAACACATTTCTTTTGCTGCTCAACTTAAAGTCATCATACTGTTAAAGTGTGTTTTAAATTTTTTTTTTAAAAATGTTAAAATCCTTAATACATATTTTTATTAAGTGTCATTCATAATCTCATTTACTTTCATTATTAGAATTTCTTTTACATAATGAAAAGAAAACTAAATTGGTTTCTCTATGCATAGATAACTGATAAAACTCTGAATTGTCTTGCTACTGGTTGTCCAAGATTACAAGTACTGGTATGTCCATGCTTATTTTCTGTGAATAATTTAAATTAATGACTTATCTTTAAGTTTATCTTCTGTAAATTTTATTGTTATTCCTTTTACGATTTTTTATTTACATCACACATATCCTTACTAAGTTGGAAAAAAGCATTCAAAATTTAGGTGAAATACTAATTGAATGATAATAAATTAACGAGTTTGTGGTAGTATAAGAAAACCGATGGATTTATTTATAACCAGCATTGAACTCCCCATCCGATTCTGAGTTTATGACAATCAATGTTCAACTCAGTAGTCTTGTAATTTCAAACCCAGATGACAAGGGAGTTTCTGGATCAAGCACTGGAATAAAATTGCCTTCAAAGAGGACTTCTTGATAGAACTAACCCGCATTTGCGTTACATAAAGAGGAAAATCATATAAACCTCCCACGTTTTGCCCAATAGCAGGAGGACTCCAACTCACAATCCGTCTACCACTGAAGATATTTTATGTCAGCACTGTGTGCAAGCCAGGAGCAGAATACGTATCAACTAGCCTCTGCTGGGATTCAAACCTAGATCTATATACTGAGAGGCATACACTATCTCCTGAGCCACCGCAGCTCAAACTAATGACTTAAAATTGGTAATTAATTACGTAAACAGTGTAGAGGCTACTGCACTGTAAACATAGCAGTTTATGAAAGAAAAGAGGGCACTTTAAAAATGAAAAATTAAAACAAAAATTAGTTTTAGTACAGAACTTCTTGTACAGATCATTAAATACAGAACTTCTAACAAATGAATTTAAAATTTCTGAGAATTACTATTAGTGAAATTATTTTTAATAGCTTCTAAGTAAATTTTTTATAGTCTATAAAAGATGACTATGATATAAGTTAGAAATTGATTCAATAATTTTTGAATCAGAAGGAAGGCTTCAAACAATTGCTATTCGATAATTTTCATTCAATTTTAAGTTTTGTTTCTGTCATGAAAATTGCCATTTTACTACATTTTTAAAATAATATCCAATATTTTATTCAAACAATTAATATTTGTTAATTTTTTTAGTCCCTTTCTAGCTGTAAGTTGATTACAGATGAAGGTGTCAATCATCTCAGTCAAGGAGCTTGTGCTATATCATCTTTGACTATGCTTGCACTTGACAACCTACCATTTTTGACAGACCAGTGCATTGATTATCTACTTTGCATGAAGAAACTGGAAAAAGTAGAACTGTTTGATTGTGGGCTGATTACTACAAATGGAATGGCCAAACTTGATGTAAGAATAAATTTTCATTGTTATTTTTTGTAATTTTTGAAACAAAAAGCATAATGAAAGTAAACTTTACAACAAATAGAGATATCGTGAAACCATTAACAAGACGTGTTTTGCCTTTAAAATCTTCTGAATTTTTAGCATAACAAAGAGATGCTATTTTTATAGCCAACTATAATCCCTGAATGAATCACATTCAGGGATTTTTAAAATGTTACTTAACATATTCTTCAACTAGTAAGGGTACATTCTTTAATGATTAAGGATAAATTTTATCTTTGACTTGTAATTTTATGATTTTTGGAACATAAAATGCATATAAAAGCGTAGTGGAAAAACCTGCTAAAGTGATATATTTATGAATTTGAAACTTTAAAACATATAGAGATCAGCAAGCTATTTACAAGGCTATAATTTGCTATTAAAGTCATAATTTCTTGTGGAATAAAAATATACTATTTTAGTACCGAACCTGAAATGTGAGTGGTTTATAGTGTTTCTTGACATATTCTTCAACTAGCAAGGGTACATTCTTTAATGGCTAAGGATAAATTTGTAGCAGAACATGTTTAAGTAACATCTTTATGAGTTTGAGAAAGTTATCTTTCAAACAAAGGTATCAGAAATCTATTTACAAGACATGCTTTGTAATGAAAATTCTCGAATTATTTATTAAAATAATTTTGCTGAATAATTAGATTTTTAGTAAGCTATTTTGCAGCTAACCACTACCCCTGAATTTAGATTATTCTTATAAAGACCACTAAACAGAGTCTTTAATTGATAAGGAATGTTCTCTGATGTATTAGGGTATATTTTTTCTCCATTAAGTCCATTGTTTAACAACAATAGGGAAAAATTATGTATTGAAACACAAGATCAAATTTTTTTTAAAATTTTTCCTAAACAGTAGATTATTTGATTAATTTCTCCAAAGCACTGCATAATAATCTCTTGTGAGCCCCACTTAATGGCTTGTTTTGGAACTGCCTTTGAGTAATTTGTGTGGGGATAGTAGTTATCGACAATGTCAACCTTCATCTATGAAAAGGTACCCCAACATAGAACGAGTTATTATGTCTTATATACTTGTGAATTTATTTTTAATAATTGTAATGGTAGTTACGCTACCGTACTCCCCCATTCGAATTTTATCTGTGATAGAATTTGATGAACGGATATCACTAGTTGATTTATTGCTATTTTGTGAGAAAACGGGAACTCTGTGTTAAAATCACCATACTTTTTAATGCTGATTTTGAGGGCTGTATGAAGTTCACGGTCATGGTAGCTCCTGTATTGCCATTAGCAGTCGAGTGTATGCAGGCCGACGCTGTGTGTGATGGAGACTGAGTAGAAACAGTCCGAGGAAGTGAATAAGATCACAATCACATGTAGCAAGTCAACTGTTCAATGGACCATTCATCGAAGTAGTTGAAATCGAAGTGGGAGTTTCTGTCAAGGTAGGCGTTTTCACACCATGTCCGAAAGTCACCAATGGGGGAGTAGTAGTTATCTATGAAAAGGTACCCCACCATAGAATCGAGCTAATATGTCTTATATACTAGTGAATTAGAATTGTATTTTTGTAGTGGTAGACGCACTACAATTTGTATAATTAGTAAAGGTTAAAATTTATATTTAATTAGTAAAGTTTAAAATTCATATTCCCCCCCCCCGCTCATATTTCCCGACGAATCCCGCTTCCAACTGTGTCCTGACGATCATCGAAGACGTGTTTGGAGACGCACAGGGCAGAGGGAAGATCCTGCCTTCACTATTGCAGGCCACACCGGCCCTCAACAAGGCATTATGGTCTGGGGTGCCATTTCCTTTGACAGCCAGACCCCTTTGGTCGTCATTAGAGGTACACTTACTGCACAGCAGTACGTCGACAACATCCTAAGACCTGTTTTGCTACCGTTCCTTTTGCACCGCCCTGTGCTGTTTTTTCAGCAGGACAATGCCAGACCACATAAGGCATGTGTTGCTATGAGCTGTCTGCAAGCATGTCAAACTCTTCCTTGCCTGCCAGATCACCAGATCTCTCTCCCATCAAGCATTTCTGGGATATGATGGGAAGGCGATTGCATCTGGCACGAAATGTTACTGACCTCATTCAACAATTGGATCGAATTTGGCAGGAAATACCGCAAGAGACCATCCGGGAACTTGTGGCAGCTTGTATCCAGGCTAGAGGCGGGTCAACACCTTATTGAACTTGTTACGAACATTAACATTCTGATTACATAAACATTAAACAGTGCAAATATGATTAAGATTGTAATAAAATACATATATTGTAAGAATATATACTTACCTACCAAATGTTGCTCTACTTATTTAATAATGTTTATAGTGTATAAATTAAGAATTCAATGATGAAATATTTTACTTTCAGAACCATCCATCTCAAAAGTTGAAAATACACGCTTTCTACAAACCTATACCAAAAAACAATTTCAATAGTTGGTGTTTCCTCTACTCTGACGTCATCATGGTTGTTATCTTTGTACTGATATTAATATCATGTTTAATTCTGGTCACTTTAACATACGGTTATTTCACTTTTTTCAATTATTTTTCAAGATAAATTTCTTTCTTTTATTGCTTCAAGTCTCTTATTGTCTGTCATTATTAAGTAGAAACTTAATATCGACTTGGTATTATTTAGAGAATCTCTCCCCCATCAAAGGGCTTTGCATTGAGCATTTATTTTAAAGTTAGTGTTGTAAGAAGTTTTATTTTTATACTCTTTTTTTAGTTTTTTAGAAAATTAAAATTTGTTTCTTGTTTTAATTGTTAACTTACAGTTATGGTAAAATAGTACAACTAAAATACGTAGGTGCAACTATATATGTGTTTGACACATAATTTTAGCTGCAACTTATGCAGGATACAAAGTAAAGTCAGTATGATGACATTCCAAAAAATAAAGCTACAGTTATGAATCTTGTGCTCATATTTGAAAATGACACTAGCGCCTCCTAGAGAGTAGAATGGGAGTTAGCTTTCATATCTAATTAATGGTCTTGAGATACATAAAAAAATTAGATCTTAGGTTAAGTCGAAATTAGTATGGAAATAAGACATGAAAATGTCTAATTTACTCGGTCATTCGTTTGGAAAAAAAATTTTTATTTTGTGAAAAAAGTAAAGATAAAAATCTTCTGGAATTTTTTTGATCTAAAAAAGTCAGATTCTCCTTTTTTTTGCATCTTGTGATGTTACAGTTCTGAAACCTATCTAAAAATGTATATCTTATTATGTTCAATTCTAAGCATTAATTATCATAAAATATCTTTAATAATAAAACAATATTGACCTTGAACTTCATAGCTAACTCAATTGTATCTCTTTCCATTTATAAGATAGGAATGAAAGCTCTAAATCTACTTGATAGTTGTCGCTAAAATCAATTTCATATGTTAGAGCTTGGTTGTTTTCGTAGGCATATACTGTATCTTTATTTACTTAGAGGTTATTTTAGTGTGTTCTCTGTGTATGTACTTTTAACCTGCACTGTGTATAACTGTATTTTAAATAGATATATTCATATAACGAATTTCTTTAATTTGTGCAATCTTTTTTGTAATACGTAACAATAGGATTAAAATAATTATGCTTTGTAAATACTGTTTTTTTTCTGTTTTATAACTGAAAAAACAATTATATGTTTTAATCATTAATTAATGTTAAATTTTCAACTTTTAGAATTGTAAGTGTAAAGTAAATTAGTATATTTTGTCTTGTTTGTTATAAATAATTTCTTAATTCTGTCCTATGAGAAGTAATATTTCTAAAGATGTTTATTCTAAGAGTGTACGATTCCTTTGCTAACTCCAATAAGTTGCAAAATATTTTTTTTCTTTTAAGGCAAAATATATTTGTGAGATAAGCGAAAGCTTCTCACATTGTTGATTTTCTGTTGTTGTCATGCTATTAGTGATATAAAAGATGATTTTACTGTATTCGTTTTTTAAAATTTAGATGACAATAATTATTGTAATGTTTCTTTTAGTTATCTCAATAGCATATTTTAAACAATTTATTTAAGTTTAAAACTATTTATTTATTTAAAATTATGCTGGACATATTACAATTTTTATCAGACATATTAATAAAAAATAATTGGGTCAAAATTGATTCATAATTTTCTGCCATAACTGTTTAGGTAATAAACCCTTTCCCCCCTAAGTTAGCATTAGTGATGTTGCTTAATGAATGGATTGTGTCCTCATAAGATATAACTTTTTTTGCCAATGTTTGAGTGTGCATTTACATACATAAATATTTTCAATTAAAATTATTGATTACTTTAAATGATGTTATTTCGTATATGAAGTAACTAACAAAGTTAAGACATTGTTAATAAAGTACAAATAATGTCATACTAACATACACATAACCATTTTGTTATAATGAAGCACCTTCAATAGTGTCGAAACACTGAAAGAAAATCACTGAGATGCACAAAACAAAAAATTATTGGTTACAATGGATTGACTAAAAGGGCAGGGTATCAAGATAAATACAGTTCTGTGTTTCGGCTCTGTATATTGCAATAAGAAGTCTATTTATGTTACATTATTTGCGGTTTTTCAACTTTATTTGTAGAAATCACAAATTTAACTTTTTATTATGTGCATTCATTTGGTAGCGTTCTTATTTATTTCTTATTTCTTTTATTATTTTTTTCATGTAACAGTTAAAGGACACTTTTTTTATTCACTCGGTGATTCTAGTCTGTAATAAAATTTTTGAGATCTGAAGCTAACCTTTTATTGTAAATATAATAACTTTTTTATTTTTGAAAACAAAAGAAATTTTTTTTTTTGGAATGGTCTTATTGTTTTTGAAATTTTTTTAACTTCATTTTTTTATTACTTTAAATTGATAATGCATTTAATATAACTTTGATGGAATAGTTTGGGCTTGATGTTTATGCAAGTACTCACCTGTATGTAAAAATTGGTGATGCTTTTAGCACTATGTAAAAATGGGTAATGCTTTTAGCACTATGTAAAAATGGGTAATGCTTTTAGCACAAGTTAGTTATAATTGTACATAGTAATTTTGCTCCACACATATTTTCACACTTATGAAAACTTCCATTTTAATCTGCAGAACTCAGTGCATTATTATTATTAGTTTGTTTCATTGTGTTGTGTAGTCTAGTCAAATTAATAGTTAATATTACTATAGAATTGAGAATTATAGCTTTAGTGCTCATTTTTCCTTTTTAGCATATAAAAGAAAATTTTTTAATTGAATTTATTTTTTTCATGTGATAAAGAGAATAATAATATTCATATATTTATCCATTTAAGTATGAATTACTTAGTCCTAAATAGAAGTAATTATTTTGAAACAATATTTATAAAACGAAACATAATTTTTAGGAAAATTATTATCAAATTCATACTAAATTCTCTGATCAGGGATAGTAGAAAAAAAAGTTAGATATGCATTGGAAATTAGGATCAGATCAACTGATTAATGTTTAACATCAGTATTAAAAGGAATTTTAAATTATGTGCAAAAAATTTAAAATTAGTTATCTGTAAATAATTAAAATTCTTTAGTTAAATCCTATTATAAATTTTTTTTCTGTAACCAAACCAAAATTTTTATTAAATGGGGTGTGTTGTGCCAAATTCGAAATGAAATATTTTTAAATTTAATAAAATAAAAAGAAATATATTTCCTTATTCTACATTCAGTTAAATAAGAGAAAAATTATTTTTATAACAGTGTATCTTAATAAATTGTACATAAAATTATTTAAACAGCTGTTTTCTTTTAATTTTGTGAAGGATTTTGTTTTGTACCATTAACCAAATTGAACCTAAATTATTAGATTTTAAGCAGTGCAACGAACGTAATCAATATTATAAATTTGAAAAAATATTGATATTTAAGCCAAGAATTCACATCCGATTACTACCCAAACACTTCAAACAATCTTAAAAGCAAATAGTAATTTTTTTAAATTGTTATGAAAATAAGAAAATTACATAAAAATTTTTTAATCCCACAAAAAACAATTTTACTAATTTTTTAAATTAATGGTGAGTTAATTAGAATTATTAATGAGTGAAAGAATTATAAAATCAATAATATTCTGTAAAAAAAATCATTTTAAAAATTCAATTCTGATTATCACCTGAACATGATTCTGGATTAGTCGTCGTCAAAAAACTTATTTTCTGAATTATATAAAATTTAATATTTTTGGAAATCATTTTTAATTTTCTTCTTGCTTACTATTATATGCATGTAAAGATGTTGCAATGAACTAGGTACTTTAAAATTTTACACTTAAATTTATTTCCAACAAATATTTTAACTATTGCATAAAATATAAAAATTTTTTTCAACTACAAAAAATAAAAAAAAAGCATTTGCAGTAATCTTTTTCTTATTTATTTTTATTATCTGTGTTTAAAAAAGGAAATTAGTGTTCTATGTCAACTATGTCACTTTAACGTAAAAAACTAAATATGTCATGTATTCTCACAATCACAACATTGTATCACTTAAGTTGGCTTCCAACCAGTGTTTGGTGCAGTGGCGTACGCAGAATTTTTTCAAGGGAGGTGTTCATAATTTTCTGAAACTACTAAAAGAAATTCGAGTCTGTAATAAAGCACTATTATTTCACTAATTTAGAGAGCTAGACAATTTAGACTTTTTATTTAGACATTGTTTAGTTAAATTTTGATTTGATTTTTTAAGTCTACGAACATAATGTCATATGGGTGGGAAGTAACACTTTGAGGGCCACTTTCACATTCATCAGATTTTGNTTATTTTTATTATATGTGTTTAAAAAAGGAAATTAGTGTTCTATGTCAACTATGTCACTTTAACGTAAAAAACTAAATATGTCATGTATTCTCACAATCACAACATTGTATCACTTAAGTTGGCTTCCAACCAGTATTTGGTGCCAAAAAATTCAAAAATAATGTTGCATCTCTGGTTTACACAATAATATACATAAATAGATACACAATAATATACATAGGTTTACACAGTAATATACATAAATATACATATTTAATTTAAAAATATGTAAAAATGTTTTAAAAGATTGAAATTGAACATTTTAAAGGACTGTATAATTATTAAAATCATCGTCATTCTTCGTATTTAATATACTGGTTTTTATTCAGATAGAATGTGTAGAATCATAACATTTACATTTTTATTTTTAAGTTACAATTTTAAACATTTATATGCAATGTAAATTTAGCTCAAAGTTGCATTATTTTAAACTGCAATTTAGAATTAACCTATATAATCTTGTTGCTTATATTAATAGTCAGATGCAAAATTTCGCTATCACTCGTTTCTGCTGAACTTTATCACGAAAATTGCTTAACTTTTTTGGCAACACTCTGGAAATAAATAGGATAAACCTTTCTAAGCTTCTAGATTTGCTTCACTATATGTGCCGATTTTCTGACTCAAATTTACCTCACTTTATAAATACAGTTAATCACACTTCCGTAGGATATACTACTTATATTATAGTCTCGTGTTGTCTCTGTTAAAATGTAATAGTTTTATTCTGAATAGTTATTAAGTCAGCATTAATTATTTGATC